GGGAGGGGAGGGATGCTGCTGCTGCAGCAGTGGGGGTGGGGAGGGACAGGGGCTACGGGAAGCAGCAGGAGCACACGCCACTAAGCTGCTTCTCCTCACCGGTGCTGACCCGGCTGGGCCCATCCTGTCCTGAGCGACACGCAGCAAAGGAGCAGCTGGGCTCCTTTTTTTTGGCATGCTAGCACTCCAGTGCCATACAAGGTAGACATTGTGGGTTTTTCAGCACTCTGGCCAAAAAACATTGCCTACCCCAGACATAGAGCATGTGACAGAGTGTAATTTCCGGTTCCAAGGCCATACTACCCCCTCCCAAAAGGAATACTTCTGGGGGCAAAGGGAGGGACTTCTGGTGGCAAAGGGTAGGGATAAGGGGGCGGGACTTCCAGCCACAAGATGGCGACCAGGGGGCAGGGCAACTGTCAAGGTGCGGGGCTACCCATGCGGCCCTTAACAGCTCACCAAAATTCGTGAAGTGGCCCTCCTGCCGAAATAATTGCCCACCCCTGAATTAGACGTATGGAAAAACTTCTTTCCAGTTCGTGTGTCCACAATCTGGAACAGACTCTCCCCCATAAGTGGTACAGTCACTTTCCCTGGAGATCTTCAAAAGATGACTGTACACACACCTCGCTGGGGTCATCTGACCTCAGCAGTCTTTCCTGCCTTAGAGCAGGGGAGCTGGACTGGATGACCTTGTGAGGTGCCTTCCAGCTCCTAACTTCTATGAATCTATAATACCATAGGAGGAAGGCCTAGATTTTAAAGACTGCAATTGCCTAGTGGGATAATATATAAATAAATATAATTAAAAATACTTGTGTGGTAATTGCGCATACACAAAATATACATTTGATGTTTAAATTATACTGTATTTGTACAGTATCTAAAGAGCAAATAAGGTGCACTGATATCTTCTCAGGACTGAGCAAAATCTACTTTTAGACATGATGCAATATGTAAGAGTATCAAACAGTACAGCAGAAAAGTCAAGATGAGATGCAATAATAAGGTTACATGGTTACTTAGGTTCATTATGTGGACCATCTTGATGCTATTATTTTGCTTTCAAGTTGGAGTGGATGGTCCAGAGGGAGAAGGAAAAAAGAACTAAGTGAATATTAAAGACAAGAGATAAGGGATGGAAAGGGTATATGACATTAGTCCCAAGAGTATGGGACATGTGGCAAGGGTGAAAAACTAGTCATGAGCTAGGAGATTCTTACAGATCAGGTTAAAGCAAAAACCAAGAAGCTATAATTTTACAAGGATAATAATACTGCATATGGACTGAGGGAACACAAATACAGGAATGTACCAGTGAAATGAACAACGGTAGTACAGAAGGAAATTGTCAGCCACAAACAGAAATCTATAGATGGGTTACAGATGTGTGGGTCCCAATTTGGCCTCTAAAACCATGGTACAAAATGATGAAACAAAATTCATCATTATTGACCATCTGTTTGACTAAGACAAGACATGCAGACAGTCAAAACTTGAGTGGATTCTCATTTTTTACTTTTTTAATATCTCCATC